AGTCGTAGCGCCATCTATGAGAAATCTTTGACAGATTTATCACCCAGATTTATTACCCTTAGTAAGTAAACTTACCTATTTCTGCCGCCAAGCTGTAATGTGGGTATTATTATGTTCCGGTTTTGAAGGGTGCTGAAAAAATTACATGCACATGGGACTTGTCAACTTAAGTATGAGGGTGACGGATGCAGTGGCAATGCCCTCAGATGTTTGCGAAATAAAGCTCTGAGTGACACTGTAACTGCTATTAAGAAGCCTGTCGTTTAACAGCAGGCGTACGACTTGTTTCGTGGTATCTTAAAAATAAAAATCAAGCAGTAATGTCAGCATTATTATGTTCCGGTTTTGAGGGTAAGGGTGAAGCTACATACACATGCGACTTGTCAACTTATGGCTTAGGGTGACGGGCGCAGTGGCATTATTCCTCAGAACTTTGTGATTTAAAGCTCTGAGTGCAGGCGTGTCGCTTACCGTCTCGTAAACATAAAATGGATTGTAAAAGAATCACTCTGTGACATTCCGTCAATAAACAATAGATACACGACGTAATAAAATACTACTTATTCTTAAAGTGAGAAGAATTCTCAGGGGAATCTACCCCTGAAAAGAATTAAAGAGTAAGGAACTGTAGTCTAGGGGTTGCACTTTGTGAATAAACATTTGGCCACATTTATTACTTACAATATGTATTTCAAATATCATAATTCGACGCCTCCTACGTAAGGTATCGTATGTCGAAATTGCCAAGTTTACAGGGGAGTGTTTTAAAGTTCTCCGTTTCATTCGGCAAAGCTTGTTACTCACATAGAGTGATCATCTAATAGATCATCTAACCGATATCTAGGATTTTATGATACTCAAAGTGTGTAACGAGATTTGCCGAATAAAAGTGAGAAATCTAAAGTCACGTGTCTTATTTCAGTGAATTCAGAACTTTAAAAGGCTCCCCTGTAAACTTGGCAATTTTGACATACGATACTTTACGTGGGAGGGGTCGATATATTTGATGCCCGAGTCAAGTTTTTGTTTCACTACAGTTTTAAACCTCGTAAGTGGTAAATTTAACACATCAACCGGAATATTATTATAGAAGCGTGCACGTTGCCCCTTACATTAATTTGTAATTTTCGGTCAGATTTTTTTTTATAAATGGATTTATTTTTATTCTTCGTATTAATGTTAGGTTAGGTTAGGACTCAGAGATGGCGACACCATGAAAACCGGTGTGTAAGCCACTCGACCACGGAAGCCGTCATATACATACATCGCACGTGGAACTAAATGCTATGAACTCAAAATTGTGGAACTAAGAAAACACAATCTGAAAATTTTTTAAAATATACTGTATGGAACTTATAACGAATAATGTGATTATTATTATTTATACAAAATACTTAATTATCCATTTATAAACGAGAATATATATATTGATTTCATTCAGTGCTTTTTTAACCGACTCCAAAAAAAGGAGGAGGTCCTCAATTCGACTGTATTTTTCTGTATATATGTTACGCGATAACTCGCGATAACCACGGCATTTGTGAACCGATGTTGATGTTTTTTTTTTGTTACAAAAGACGGTATCTCGTTAGTTGTCTCATTTACTTTAGAAGAAAATGTTCCACCTCTAACGGTGGCAAACTAGGGGATGAATCCGGTTGCACGCACTTCCGGTAACCGATTTCAATAAAACCTTGCAAATAGATTTAATTCATGTTCCATTTAGTCGTACTAATTTTAGAATGAATAGTTATCTACCAAGATCATTAACATCATTTAGCTAACTCAATGACTGTTACATAGATCTTTTCTGTAATAGCGTATGCGAATATAAAAACTATTATGAGTAATAGCTTCTTTTCAAA